GTCCTGTGAGTTGTTAGGCTGCCCCCCAGTCTGGTCAACCACCTTGAGTGATTTCACAAACCCTCTGAGCTTGCCCTCAGCGTAATTAATTACTGGGAAAGTGGGAAAAAATGCAAGGAAAGAGGCAGAAGAGTTTGAGTTTTAGATTGGGCGCTGAAGGGAGAATGGGTTTTGTAGTCACTGTGGAAGGTGAAAGGGGTTGAAGTTTTTCGCACTTGACCATCCCGGCCAGCCTGTTGCAGTCATCAGGTAGAGTCCCTCGGTGATTGGCTCTGTCCTTCCTTAATCCCCTGTGAGTCAACCGTGGTCATCCATATCAATTAACACCTATACGTGTTGCTTCCAGTGTGTCCTGTTATTTAGGGGAGAGGAGAGAAACTTATCACCCCAGGGACCTGACAGACCGGTGACCAGAGAAGTCAAATCAATGTCTAGTTTTTCTTTTTTCTCTCTCTCTTCAAATCTCTGCCAACTCATCCCTGGAGACATATCACCTGCAGGGTTTCCAAATTGTCTCTGACACTTATTTTCAGGATTTTAGGGAAGGAGTTGGGGGAAAACGTACCCACCGGGAGAGCTCCGGTTGCATGCTCTGGGGCGATCTCTGCTCCATTGCCTTTGACAGTTCGAATCGCTCTTGACGCCGAGGGTCGGGCTTTAATTTGGCTCACGCACACACTTCCACAAACAAATTAATCCAACCAGTTGGAGCTTAATATTCTCTGCCAATACTTTAATTTCCACTTAAGATTGGCAGTGTGATGTATGAGGGATATAAGCAGTGTTGGATACTGGCAGGTTTCCAAAAAGTTTGATACCTGTCACGTTTTTCAGGTAGGACTGTGCCAATTATCTGAATATCTGAATATTCAATCGATTGTTGAATATTCAAATATTACTTTCCAAATTTGAATATTCAAATGCAAAATTCATGAATAGGAAGGAAGAATTTACTTTTGTTTTAAGTGAGAAAAATTGCACTGTGGAGGCTTGTTTCAAGCACATTCAAATGAAAATTGACAGAAATCTTACTATTAAAAAGTAAATTATACATTAAAAGATTTTCAAGTAATAGAAATATTCCACAGGGCAAGGTGTATTTTTCGTCTTGCTGAATCGTGGCTGGAGATACTCCTGGACATGTAGTGGTTATAATGTGCATGGTGTGCATTATTGCAACAGATTTTAGATATGGTTTGTTCTTCAACAATCTGCCAGTTAGTATGACTGAATATTTGGATATTCAATCAAATTGAGGTAAAATATTCGAATGGTGACTTATTCGAATTGACTTAGTCCTATTATCAGATAGGAATAAAGTAGAAACTTCCAACATTGAGTATTCATACCCCATGCAAACATATCTTGATACTTTTGTCGTACTGGTTGTAAAGAGCTGTTAAGTTTGAAGCCAATGGATCATGCCTACAAAGTAGTTTATAAAATCCTGTTTTCAAAGGGAAAAACAGTTGTAATGAAGAATGTGTACAATAAACAATGTTTCATTACTCTTTTGAGCAGAGTTTCAACTGTTCATGTTCAAGGAGAGTCACATTAGTCTGAGGATCTCTCCTATCAAATCTTCTCCCTTCAGGACAAGTGTTGCAACTACATTCGGGTCCTGTTGCTTCGAGGGGAGCGGGTCTTTGTCTGTGGTACCAATGCCTTCTCACCGGCATGCACATGGAGACAGGTACACCATTAACTGCATCATATTTGATATTATTCAGTTCTGTTTGATACAATTTAAGAAAATGCAATGATTTTAATGATTTTTTTATGCTGTGTAGAGCTGTGAACAACTTCAAATCTTAAGTTTTGTTTTTCAAAAACCCTATGGTTTAATTTATTGAAATTGAAAAAGAAATTGGCCTTGTATTGGAAAATATTTAATTCTGCCCCTAGAAATGGTGGAGACTTATTTGTCATACAGTTCATAAACTTTATTTTAAAGATTGTGTGTCCATCTTTGACTCTTCCCTGACAGAAATCCAACCTAAGTGCGATTGAGGAGAGTGTTACAGGTATTGCCCGCTGCCCCTATGACCCCAGCAGCAACACGACGGCGCTTTTCACACGAGATGGCGACTTGTACAGTGCCACTGTCATGGACTTTACGGCACGCGACCCCGTCCTGTACCGCACCCTTGGCAACTCGCGGCCATTGCGCACGGCCCAGCTGAACTCCAAGTGGTTGAATGGTGAGTAGCAATCCTCTATAGATGCTTTTCACGGTAGCCATCTTGTAGGGCAGTTCCACAGGGAAACCTCCTTTATGCTTACCCTGAGGAACAAAAGCATACACCTGCAGGATGGCAACCATACAAACATTAGACACAAAGAAAAACTTGACCACTTCCTGCTTGGTTGAATTTGCATGTGCGGGGTGAGTTCCCGGGGGATTTTCAAGATTTTCCATTTTCAAAATTCTTCAATAATTCACAACTTCATTGACTAGACCTTTACACCCACATGAATGACTGTCTGGTGGCTTCTCTAATCTGACAGGCAACCTCCATTGACACCCAAGTATTTCAGCCAGGCCTGCTGCCTAGTAAAGAGAGTCCAGATTGTGCAGTGGTGCATAATTTCCTTTGTTCCCAAAATAGGCCCAGTGCATTGCTGAATGCCAGTGGCATCTTTTCAAATGCGGCCGGACTAGCGTGCAGCGGTACTGCATCGCTCATCGCAGGAGCACTGGAGTGCTTTTGGCCCCACTGATAATCTGCTGGCACTGAATGCCTCAAACAGTGGTATACTGTTTCAAAACAATGACGGATTACCTCCGCTAATGCCAGCTGAAAAATGGCAATTCCCAGCAGCTCGGTCTTTTGTTCCGAATACAGTCTTTTGTTACAAGGCCCAGCTCTTTTGTCCGATTTCATTTACCCCAGCTGCGCATACAAAGCCAAGGTGCCCGTTCCGGAAACCCTGGGGGCAGGTGGTTAAAAGGCAATGAGTTATAAGAAATACACATGTACGTAAAGCCCTGTCAGATGTCTCGCTTTGACCTGTGCTGGGATCCATCCACTGTCCTGGATGATCGAGGTTGCTTCCAGCACGAGTGGAAATGATGCACCCTTCCCCTTGCGAGACTTTGTCCCAGTTGCGACAATGCACATTTTCAGTTTCATGTCTGAGTAATTGGGATTTCCTAGTCTGGTTCCCTGCAGGGGATGTTTTGACCACTGTCAAAAGTGCATTTCTGGATGTACTGCCAATTTAAAATTGAACAGCCATGGTGCAAACAATATTGTAGGCCTACAATTTTGTTCTAGCACCCTTGTTTTGAGAGCTCATTCTTATTAACCACTTGCCACCAGGGTTTCCGGTACCGGACACGTCTTCTTTCTACACGTGACTGGGGTCTCCGAAATCAGACTAAGGGAACTGGGCCTTCTAACAAAAGACTGTACTCGTACCAAAAGACCAGGCTGCTGGGCATTAGCAACGTTTTTCACCCTCAATAGTGGAGATAATCCAGCCTTGTTTTCATACAGTGTACCACGGTTTTGGGATTTAGCACAAGCGGATTACCATCAGGGACAAAAGCACTCCACCACTGCAGCGGTGAGCCACACATTACCGCTGCACGCTAATCTGGCCCCTATTGAAAGAGGTCAGCAGTGCACTGTGCCAGGTTTGTGAACAAAGGAAAATGACGTAACACCGCACAATCTGGGCTTTTTTTACAAGGTTGCAGGCCTGGCTGAAATACTCCATCATCAATAGATGTTGTCTGTCAGAGTAGAGTAGAAACCACATAGTCCTTTGTGTGGGTGTAAGTGTCCAGTAAATGAAGATATGAATTTCTAAAGATTTTTGAAAACAGAAAAAAACAAAGAAAATTATCCCGTCCCAGCATCTTCAACATTCATAAATGCCCTGGTCCAAAGCGGTTAAGCTTTAATTCTAGGATTTTATGATAAATGCCTCACGGAGGAGAGTCTGGTGCAAAAACACATCCATTTCGGATGACAGAAATGCCGTGTGTGTGTTTATTTGGGAGGATGGAAAAAAAAGTCAGATATTTTCATTAAAAAAAGCAAGTCAGTTCAAAGCCAATTTGGCTCACTAGGCCGTTGTTTATCTCTGGTTTCCTTGCCATGAAATGACTGAGAATATTTATATTCCCCTGGATGGGATGCCAGTCCATCACAGGTTGCTTTCCAGCTAATGCTGGTCCCTATTTATTGTCCTGGATGGAGGGAGGTGGGCAGGGGTGAAGGGGCTTCCCCAGGGCCACAGCATACTGCCAGCAACTGGATTCGAACCTCCAACCCTATGATTGCAGGCCATAGACCCTAACCGCTTGGCCACATGCCCCCGATATTTTCATTGGCTTTACCAGTAAAAGCTCCGTGACTTTCTAGAGCTTGAGACAAAAAAGGAGGATTTGGGAGAAACAGCTTGTCTGTGACTGTGTCCAATTTCTTGGCAAGGCTGGAAGTAGCCCGCTGGTCTGTGGAACCAACCAACCAGCAGCTTTGCACTTTTCCCATAGATTCACACATTATTTTCAGCTGCTAGCCAAGAGATTTGAATGCAGCCTGTACCCCAATCAACTCCTGAAGTAGTTGGCAGAGTAAGTGTTGCCTGGTTCAGCTACTTGGCAATGAACTAGTTTCAATGTTTGGTAGTGTTTATTGAGGTTTCCTTCTTCCTTGTGAGTGCATTTCAACATGGATCACCAAGCAGTGTAAAAAAGCGGCAAGTTTTCTCATGGGCTAAGCTGTTAGGTTTCCTGAGTGCCAACGTAACTCTTATTGAATTGAAGAGACACCTGGTTATTTTGGCTCTAGGTCAAGTTACCCTTTATGAGGCTTTTATTCAATGAAGAGTAACCTTTGAATTATTTTAAATCCTAATCAAGCCGACTTCCAGATAGATAGAGTGATATCCTTAATGGTAACAGTAGAGGGGAGAATGCACATGAGACAACATGTTGTAAATAGGCTAAACACAGAGTTGTAAACGAAGTTATTTAAAAACAGTTACCTGTGTTGGCCTGTGTGGTTTCACTTGATGTACCCTCTGTTGATGGTGAATGGAAAGTTGCAGGCTGATTTGGTTACAAACATTCCAATTTAGTGTATCACGAAAATGTATTGTTGCCTCCTCCTTTATTTTCACTGGCAGTTAAGTTTGTACCGAAGGTGGGGCAGAACCATTTTAAGATTTGACACCTTACTGGGGATTATGCCTGTGCTTATGCGTACTTTCTGTTTGGCAGAATTTGCTTGTCAAACTGATTGCAAAAGTGCCATCAGTGGCTAGAAACTGTCCACCAAAAGGCGTGCTTCCAAAACTTGCAGATTTTGAAAACAAGACAACCACAGGGCAACAGTGGGCAGAAGAATTATTTGCTTATGCTGTAGGCCTCACAAAGTGGAAAGGATTTAATGCCACCCTGTTCTGCCTAAGAAAGGTGTCCATTTTGCCTGCTAAATTTTAGAAGAGTTACGGGCAGCTCACATGAGTCTAGAAGCATGAAAGTAAAAAGTGAGTTGTCACTCATGTGTAGTCATGGCCCGAGCGACAGCCTGGAAGGTAATGTGCAGTCCTGTGGGAACATGGGGGAGTGGCTTTTTGGGGGTTTGGTAAGTTTCGATCCTAATCTCTCAGCTAATCTAATCAGAGGGTGTAGTGGTCCGGTGTCCTGACCTACATGTGTGGTTTCGGTAAAAACAGCTCCCCATGTCCCTGTTTACAGAAAATAGGGGGGGACTCCTTTCCTGAGTGGCTGGGCATCTGACTGTTGACTTTGGTACAGGTGTTCGTGCCTGCAGCCGACAGGAATCTACCTGTGTCTGGCCTACTTTCCTACTGCCTGAAGGTTACTATGCCTCTACTGCACATGCTTTCAAAAAGTCAGTGGGTTTTGTAATGTAGTTGTGATGCTTCAGGAATGCCATGTTTTTACAGTGTTTAAGTTTTGTTTTGGTCTCTGATTGGACTTTGCCAATTTGCAAAGAATTTTTCTGCAAACCTTGGTAGCATTCATCAGGCCTACATGATGTATTTCAGAAGAATCATAGTGAGGCGTTGGTGGTGCTTTTGTAGTTTGTTGTTGACTTTTATTGGCTCGAATCTAGTACAGTAGCGATAACCTGTGAACCAGAATTTTGCCTTGGAATGAAAACCCCATCAATTCTTATCTGCTTGAGTTGTCCTAACCACCAGCACGGTGACCATCACGGTGACATAACGGATTAACAGATCGGCAGGGCATAACACAGGGAATACCCAGGAAATTTGGCTGTCCACTTGAGCCAGGGGGTTTAGGACGACAAAGTGCAGGGATTAATCCCTGACTGAGTCATATTGTGACATTCCTGACTTGTTGGACTATTTGAAACCATGGCTTCTTTGGCGGTGGATGGGGTGGGATTGAGGAGGGGAACAGCAGTTTGGAATGACACTCGGAGGCTATTTGTGCGGTAGATCCCAGTGGCATGCATGTACAAGACAGGCTGAGATTTGCAGTTGATTGCAGAGTGGAGAAGCTCAAATTTGGCTTACATTGAGAAGGATGAGAGGGCTTAACTTACTTAAACACGTGCCGCTCGCCTGCCGTTCTGTTTGGCATGAATTGAACCAAGTCAATATTCAGAGAGACTGTGATTACACTGTTGGGTTCCCTCCAGTAAAATGAATTGAATGTTCTCTTCTGTGCCACCTCGGTCTCAGAACGGAAGGACTAACCAGATAATTCATCTCCTTAAACTGGGTATGTCGGATGTTTCAAAGCCACCTTGCAGACGAATCACAAACGGTGGGGGTGGGGCTGGCTGGAACAGCGGCGAAGGAGACCCAAGGAGACCGCGCACTCGTCTGTGGGTACAGAGTGGAAGGAGAGGGGAAAAACGGTGATAGAAGTGCGACGGGAGGCACGCAGCCATTTGTATTTTGGGTAATAACAGGAAATTTTCAATTTTCCCTGCCTGCTCTCCCGTGGGTCGACGTGCAGCTCTCGGCCGGTCATAATACAGCAAAAACAGGACTGAGCTTCAGCGGCACATGAAGCGGCCTCACTCGCTTCCCCACCCCCACATCACTCTATGTTTTTGCTCTACCTGTGGCGGCTTAGACTAAAAGGATATCCTCCGTGTCCTTAAAGGAAGATCCATTTTCTCCTTGGCATTACCCTTCGTGTTCCTTCTAATTTATGAAAACCGATAACTAAGATTAAAGTTATATTTGTTTTCAGTAAAATTATCATTTTCTTCAACACCCGAATGAAGCCATTAATGATTCCTGCATGTTCAACACTGAAAAATAACAAAATTGACTTTTTCGAAGAAAAAAGTGGAGTCAAAATGCAGAATTATCTCCAAGTTCTTTTCGCATTTTTAAGCCATGAGAATATAATATAGACAACTGCGTGTGTACTTCAGAATCATCGCTACGAAGCAATGTGCTGCATGCCCAGAAAAGTAAAGGGCATAATTTGGTTAGCCCAAAGTGACCTTTTTTCTCAAACTGTCGAGTGTGTGTATTGGGGAGACAGAGCTAAATCTGAAGAGGAAAAGAAATAGTGCAATTTCATCCCTGCGTCTTAGTTTAGCGGGGCCGTCCACCTCGCATCCAGTGAATCATAGCAGATGGATGCGGCGTCACCTGTTTCAAATGGATCAGTCGTGGAAGAATGTCCTACGCCGATACTGTTTTGCTGGCAGCACACACGTGGCGTTGTCATAAAACGGCGATTTCTTAATTGGACTGTCATTGGTTAGTTTGGGTTCTTCTTCATCAGTTCGGACATATTGCGTGTGCCGGGGATCGAGGCTATTTTGGATTGCGAACTGTTTAAATGAAAGAAGAAGGCTCCCCGGAAACGGCAAATCTCAGTGTGGTTTCTAAAAAGCCCAATCTTCAGATTTGCTGATTTGTGTTTCCACTCTGACCAGGACACGATCATTGCTGAATTGTTCTAAAATTAGATTGAAGGGATTGATACAAGTTGTTCCAACATGAATGCGAGTCGGACGTTTTATGGCCTTGTTTTTCTGACAGAATTAATAATGAAAGAAATACTAATTGAGTCAGTATGTCAGCTCTCTGTTTTATGAAACAACTTATCAGGGGAAACTGACTAGGTTCTTACAAATGATTACAAAGATTACCAAAACATTTGATTGGAGGGGGACTCGAACCTGCAGCCTCCTGAATACCTTACCAGTGCTCTACCAACTGAGCTATCCAGCCCTATGTTGGTGACTCTTCCCATTTTCAATATCTTTGGTTCGGGGGCACTCTGTTTCCAATCACCCCTACTCTGAGCAAACTCAATGAACTAGGATGAGGGCATCAAAAGTCCTTTTCTGATTCACTTCCACATCTGATGACAAGATGACTCGACTGTGAATGGAAAGTGCATTATTGCGCCAAACATGCTCAACTTACTTCAAAACTGGGCCACTTGGCTATTTCCGTAAACTCCAGAACAGGCACATCACCGAGTTTAACTTCAGTGGGCTGTGAGTAAATGAACTATTTCCCCAGAAAAGTCTGCAATCACTAGACAGCAATATTCAACCTTTTGTCATCTCTATTGACCTGTCATTAACAAATATTTCTTTCAATCAAAACTCTTGACGTTAAAGAGATTCTTTTTTTTTCCTCATATACATTTGTTCTTGAAAATTTGAAAATTCACTTGTTTAATGCAGGTTTTCAATTCAAGCATTTATGAGCATTAATGTTTCCTTGTTTTACAGAGCCTAACTTCATATCTTCGTATGAGATTGGGCCATGGGTGTACTTCTTCTTCCGAGAGAGGGCTGTGGAATTCTCCAATTGCGGCAGGGTGAGTTCTTCCATTTCTCTCCCCCCCCACTAACTCTCCAACACAGCCCCGTCACCTGCTTGTATCCTCACGCCAATCGAATGTTCCCTGGCATTTTGACGGAGCCCCTTTCCTTGCACGTGCACACGTGTGGTTGCGACAGCCCTGCGTAAGTGGAAACGGCTGTCTTTAAGTAGTCTTTCCTCCAGTGCTTCCTAGTGTTATTTCCAGGTAGATACACGGGTATGTGACTGTTGCCCTTGTTGCTGTTTGTTGGCTGTGTGGTGTCATAGACATTTAAGATGCATGTGCTGGTTGTGTTATAGTTGTAAGGTCTTTTAAGGGGGGACAGGCTGCCATGTACCCTTATTGTGATGGTTTTCCAAGTTTGCTCTGTAGGTTGTAGTGTTGTAGTACTTGTACTCATACTCGAGTACCTTTTTCTTTACTCATACTCATGAAAATGTTCTCGTATGTTTACTCTCGAGAAAAAATTAGTTGTACTCGTATCGAAGTACCGGTATTTGTACTCATACTCGTGGAAAAGAACTCGACTGTAGCACTGGGTAAAAGTTGAACATTCTGGAAGCATTTAGAATACATTCTTTGTGAAATTACTGAGCAATAAGTTTCTTTATTTTGAGGCATTGTTTGTCAATGATGTGAGCTCTGTCAGAGTCCAAACTGGAGAATTTGGGGGGGCATACAGAAGTGGTAAGGTTAGTTGCGAGGTCTGTGCAGCTTTCAGTACGCTGCAGATATTTAGTCGAGGAAATCATTATTGATGGCATAGTAAGATCAAATACTGTGCAGTTTGTAATTGGAGCAGGTCAGTGTCTGTACGTGGCCCTTGGAGTTGGAGCAGGTAAACCAGTTATGTGGCCAACAAGTAGAACCATTGAATCCTGTGCAGCAAGTTGTAGTCAATTTCAGTTGCTTAGTCAAACTCTGGGTCAGTTTGAACTCTGAGCACCTAGTGTACTCCATCCATAATAATACTAAGGGTGGAACATTTAGATGTTTAAATGAAAAAAAGATCCAAATCCGTTTCCTGATTTTCCCAAACATTGAAACGGAACTTTGGCTCTGTTAGAGCTTTGACGTTTTGATTGAAGCAATCTGGCATTCATTTCTACCTTAAACGTTGCCTGTAAAACGTAATCTGATTTTCAGAACACTTTACTGCTCAGTCATTATCAAAGGAATACCACGAATTCATTACTGGAACTGTGTATCAACTATTTACATTGTATACAATTTGTTGTGTTTAAAGTTTTCAATGACTCAGTGGTAAAGGTGGGATGTTTAAAAGGTACGGGATAGTTTCCTGAACGTTTTCCAAATTAAACGTAAAATTTCCACCCTTAAATACGTAGTACTTAAATAATGCTTTGCAACCTATGAAAAGCACTTTCACGAATATAACCTCTGTGTACCTTGACTTGAGATCAGGTTTTGTGCAACAGCTTGAGATCAGTGGTATCCTTTCTCTGTGCTCACAGGGACTCATTTAGGCCACTATGGGGGGCAGACAGACAGTCAGTTGTGAAGTTTGATGCCCAAGAAAAACAGCCACCACGGTACTCTTTGGGTTCAAACCCCGATACCATCACAAGTCAAACACTGAACCAAGGTACTCGGTACACCATCAACCCATCTACACTGGGACATCATGTCCAGGGGACATCATGTTTGGGAATTGTCATTATCTTTAGTGTGATAATCTAACTAGGGATTGAAGGAGTTCATGCTAGGGGGAATGGATGTAAATGTTCCCCCTCCTGGGATTGAGTGTAGGAAGTGGGCAAACAAGATGGAACGTGCTGCAAGGAGTCAGTAGGGACACTCTCCACAGAATGCTCCTGGCACGGCACGTGAAGTGCGTGGATTGAGGGGAGAGCAGATTTTGTTTTCGTTGGTTTCCCTCTCAGTGGGAATGTTACTGGCTTCCTTCTCCTGTCCTGAGGGCAATCGATAGAAATGTGATACCTTGCACCCCTGAGATTCCCAGCCAAGAAGCATTGGGGGAAGGGAGAGGGGCTCGCTGTAAGGATTATCTGGGGGGGAGGTAAACTTGTTTGTCGGCATGGTGGGAGAATTGATGCCTGGGCTGCTCAGTAGTCGTAATCGATTTAAGTTGACTGGATCTGTTCCGGGGGGGTCCTCTCTGTCCTCAAAACAGCCCTGAGAAGATATCCTCGGAATCTTCTTTAAAGAGGTGCTATAGAAACAATAGATCAAATTGAAGAAATGAAAATGGGAAGAAAAAAAAATCACCCCACGGTGACACAACGTTGCAGGGAAGGGATAGTTCTTTTTAAGTCCTTCCTTCCAGAAAGTTTCCCTATTAAAATCTCATTTATCATAATTTCCTGCAGCTAGGAAGTAAAAAATTTGTGTTGCTCTACCACTCCCCCCCCCGTACCCTTGGATAATTAATAATCAAATGAACTGTCTCTTATGATATCTTTAGGACTTGGAAACTTCCACAAATCATCTCCGATCCCCCTCCATCACCTCCACTCATGCTGGCCAACGGCTCATCGACTATTACAACTTCCGTTTTTTCCCCATTTTGGCTAACCCAGGGATTTGTTGCCCTGAGTTACAAGTCAGTTTTCCCTTAATCCAGGCTTTAAATAATTTCAGAGATCCCACCTTTCATTTTTTGTTAATCCCTTTGCGTTTGGGTACCCTTGCTTCCTAATGAAACCTGTGGCATGGAGCTGCCTGGGTTAATCCCACTTGTGAAGATAAAACCCCTTCTGGCATGTTTTCAAATACAGGCAGTAACAGCACAGTGGCATTGCTTGAGTTGTCTGGAACGTTGGTAAGACCAGTGCCAGTCTTTGGGCCTTCTGTACTTTTTTTCAGAGTGACAGTTAGCTGCAGTATGGAATTAAAAAAGTGTGTCTTTGCATTTTGCACACTTTTGTTTATTGAGTACCAGATGGTTCCCACATCTAAGCCTTCTTCCACAAGTTTGCATATTCCCTTTTTGTTGTGGTCGTTTTTGTGTGTTAGTTTTTGAGCCAAAATGATCCATAACTGCTGTTTGGTTGCTTCAGTGATCCGATTATTGCATAAGGGGTATCACAGTGTTTTAGCACTCGTATTTAGTACTCGTACTCGAGTAATACTCGAGTACAATTTTCAGAGTACATGTACTTGTGTCTTACTCAGTGTACTCGAATTTCCGAGTACTCCTACTCAAACAACAGTTCTTGTACTCGGGCTGCAAAGTGCTCCGAGTAAAATTGTACTCGAGTATCAAGTATCATACTCAATTAACAGTAGTCGATAAAAAATCCTTTAAACCCCATTACGGCCATTGAAATACAACCTTACATGAAAATCGATCCTCGTTGACCAATATTAGGTACAGTCTGACAAACAGAAGTCCTACACATGTGCCGTCTTAGCCAATTACGAACTTGAAATGCCAGTGTACTCTTAGTCTTCGTTCCAAGACTTTCCTGTTTATTCCGTGAAACGAACCATCACTAGACGTAATTCTTGAAGGGGCACTGTCACTGTGTATCACCTTGTAAAGTGCATGCATCTTGGGTCCAAGACTTGTAACACTCACTTTAGTTGTAGCTAGTCTGGTTCCGGCCCTGACATAGAAATCTTGAATATAGAAAAGCACAGGCATAAGAATATGAAGTCTGGAAAGCAGACTTCACCCATCGACATTTACTCGTTCACGTCATGCATGCATAAGCTAATGCATCATCACAAGTCAGAGTCGTACTGGTACATGTACATTGTAATATACATGTATATTGTTTCAGAATGTTGTCTACGTATTTTTTGGTTGGCTTGACAATTACACAGAGTTTTAGCTGGTAACATTTGTTTTTGAGCAAGGTTTTTTGGCATTTCAGCAAATTTTGTACTTAAGCAGCTTATTCTTGATGTTTTTACATTTTACCTTGGAGTAAATGCTTTTACTGTTGTTGGTGCATCAGAATTGATGATATTTCTCATGCCTTATAAACGTTGTTCTTCTGACATCTCCATGCCCTGATTCAATGCTTTTACTGTTTGTGCATCAGAATTGATGATCCTTCTCTTGCGGTATAAATGCTGTACTTCTGTGTTTTGCCAAGGAGCCTATTCATATACACAGTTTTGGGACTAAATCTAATCTGCAACTTTACTTAAATACTGATTTGGGAATGCTACGGCAGATTTTAATAAAAACAATCAGTTGCAAAAGAGTTTGTATATCCATTGTTCATATATAAATTTAAACATTTTGATGAACAAATTTGACTATTTACTCAGACTTAAAGTACTCTGACTTGTACTCGTAATTCCAAGTACTCATACTCATACTCATACAAGTACTTGTACTCAGGTACAAGTACTTGTACTCAGGTACAAGTACTCGTACTGGGAGGTACAAGCACTCGTAATGGGAGGTACAAGCAATCGTACTCGTACTCGGAAGTATAGGTACTCTTACTCAGAGGTATAAGTTCTCATACTCTTAGCTACCATTGCTCATACTCTTACTCGGGGGTGCAAGTACTCTTACTCAGAGGTACAAGTACTCATACTCAGGGGTACAAGTACTCGTACTCAGAGGTACAAGTACTCATACTCGGAGGTACAAGTACACACACTCAGAGGTACAAGCACTCGTACTCATACTCCGAGGTATAAGTGCTCATACTTTGAGGTACTGATGCTCATACTCTTACTCGCAGTTCAAGTACTCATTCTCATACTCACTGGTACAAGTACTTTTACTCAGAGGTACAAGTATTTGTACTTGTAGGTACAATTACCTGTACTCCTGTACTTGAAAATCAGTTTTTGCACTCAGCTGGTAAAGCAATCAGACTTTCAGGCACTCGGAAATTTAAGTACTCAGCAATACGCTGTACTGGGCAAACAGTACTCAGCTATAGCACTCTTGTATCAAGTGATGAGCCCTGTTATCAGCTCTATTGGGATTTCTCTGGGATGCCATTTGTGCATAATTTCTCGAGCCAATAACAAGAGTGCAGTGT